CCATTCCTCTAAACGTGCATTTTTTAAATCTTGTTTCGAAGAAATGTGATGGTCTCGAATTTTTTCTTCATGATGACTCCATGAGTGCTCTATCACATTTACGTCTGGAGACTGTGGAGGGATTTGTAATTGCTGCGGCACATTATATAGGATCCACTGACGTGTATTATAAGCATTATGCTTTGGATCATTATCTTGCAAAAATATATAATTGCTCTGTAACTGCATTTTATTTGCACTAACCTGAAGATGCTCTTTTAGAATATCGATGTACATTTTGTGATCCATGATACCATCGATAAAATGGAGGGATCCAACCCCGCTCGCACTCATAGAGCACCAAACTGTGACTGATCCTCCTCCATGCTTTACGGTCGGCTTCAAATTTCTTTTTTCGTACTCGGTATTTTTTTTCCGCCATACTGTACATCGTCCATCTGATCCAAATATGTTAAATTTACTCTCATCGGTAAATATAATAAGGTTCCAGTGCTCCATAGGAACATTAACGTACTCTTTCGCGAATTGCAATCGTTTCTTTCTATTAATTTCATTTACGAAATATTTCTTACGAGCTACTTTGCCGTGATATCCTCTATCCCGTAAAAAATTACGCACTGTGCTACTGCATACATTAATGTCCAGATCATTTTTAAGTTCAGCTGTGATTTTCACCTCACTTATCTTTGGATTTTGCTTTATTCTTCGAATTATCCATCGGCCGGTATACTCATTTATTATTCGTTTACGTCCGTTTCTTGGATTATTTTTTACAGTTTTTCGATCGCCATATCTGTCAATGATTCCTTGAATCGTGGACCTCGGTCTATTTAAAACTTTAGAAATTTCACTCAGTGTTTTACACTTATTACGTAAATTTATAACAATTTTCCTTTCTTCTTCAGAGGTTTCCTTGCGTTTTCGTCCCATTTTACTGATAATTTCGTTGATAATGTTTGAATTCAGGATACTACCTATACCGACAGCGTCTCCAGACATACTGATGCTAAGTATGTTTACATATGATGGATTATCTTGTAATCGTTCTATGTGGAATGTTACGAATCAAAGACTGTACGAATACTTATTACGCGTATATTTTAGGTCAATTTCTGGAAATTTGTTAATATTTTCATAATAAATATAAATAAATAATTTGTTGTTAATGACATTTGTTCCAGAGATTTCTAAGAATATGTATGCATGTTTTTGTTGACATACTTTTGTAATAAACAAAGTTCTGCAAAGTTTTTGTTCAAATTGACTAGTGTACGAATACTTTTTACACTCACTGTATATCTTGTAAAGTATTGACCAAACAAATTGAGACTTGTGGTCGTTGGAAAAGTGGCATTTCGTACTAAAAAAAATTCTTTTCGTTTTTTGGTTGGTCGATTCAGTTGTGAGTTATATGATGTAAAAAACGGAAGTTAGCAAAGATAAAATTCCGTATATTTTACAATGCTGCTTTGATGAAGGCGAAAATGCAAGGCAGAAGGGTGAAATTGTGAATGGTGTTTATAGTCACGATACTGTCACAGCCAATGTCGAAAATATCGATAAAATTATGGAAATGATCGAAGTAGATCGACGTGTTAGTAGTCGTAGCACCGTCCAGGGGTTAAAGATCGACCACAAAAGAGTTTGCATAAAGCTGGATTCAAAAAGAAGCTCGATGTTTGGGTGCCACACGAATGGATAGGTTGAATTTCCATCTGTGAAGCTTTAGCCAAATGGAACAAAATTGAAAATAAGTTATAAAACAAAATGGTACATATTTCACCCAAGTCGGACAATCCGAACCATGTTAAACAAAGTCTTGAAATAAACGTGAGAATAATGAATTTCTTTATCCCCAACCTCATATATGGTGAAACCGTAAAAAAATAAAAAAATTCTAAAACACGGACATGTAATTTTACTTTCTAATCTACAAGAAAGGAAAGTGTCGTAATTGAGAAACATTTCGAAAATACATTTTCCAGAAAAAAACGGTTTCTGTAATCCTTTGATCACATTCTGACTATTAAACAATATTTTGTTTTGAACGTGCGTACGTGTGTAAACTTTTCAACACTATTGTGTGCGAACGGACGAATGGATTCCAATGAAACTTCGTATTTAAATTGTTTTAAATCCAATTACATTGTGAACAAAACCTTTCGATAAATAGTAATGTTTGTCTCTCAAAAGAATGTTTTAAATAAATTTTACAGAGTATTGAATTTAATTCAAAAGACTCGAATAAACTTTTTTTCTATCGTCTCTTGCAAAGAAAATATTTGTAATATTTTTCAATGAAAACTGTTTTCTCCGATCAAAATGGTATTGCGATAATGTGTGGAAAAGTAACGAATTCGTCTGTGTTAATTACCACACAGTAAATTGACTTCGATCTCGGTCACCATGAGATTGCAACGAAAGAGAACGAACCAACAAAAGCAACGGCCATTACGTTCCAATAGTACCATAACGATAAATCCGATCTGACAAACGTAGGACATTAGCGAAATGCTCAGAGGATATATGTACTTGCGAAACCTTCGATAACGATCCATTGGACGTAAAAGCATATAGAGTCGATTCTTATATCGCGGAGCCCAATATCGAACATTCTAAGGCCCTGAGATACCATAGTTAAATTTAAGATGAGAAATTCCAACAGCGAAAACCACTGAAACATACTACACGATACGGATGACTCTCATTATGGATAATGTATAGGATTTGCTGTTTTCTTCTGCGGCATTGGAGTTCCATTCAACAATTTTTCAAAGGACATTATCTTCTGGGTGAGTTTACGCTGATAAAAGAGAAGCTTACCTGAGGTTTCATCCGGTTTATTCAGGTAAAGCTACCTGTACATACAGAATCGAAACTATATATTTGCCAACTGACCTTCTTTGTACCCTATAAATACTACTTTATGTGAGGATTCCTTACTTCGATAATATTCTTGCTTCGTATCTAAAAGATGACGAAGGTGAATAATATTTATAAACCTAACACAAAATATTTGAGAATCCATTCAATCTCACGATACATCTCTGTACATTATATTCGAAATCTTGATGTTTCCTACCTCTCAGGAACTTGAACTACGATTTTTACTGCACATCTTTGGATTTTGTCTGGATTTTATTTTATCAGTTCTTGTTTTATTCTTTAAAGTTTTTCTATCTCCATATCTGTCAATGATTCCTTGAATCGTGGACCTTGGTTATTCACAATTTTTTTAATCTCTCGTGACGTTTTGCACCTGTTGTGCAGATTTATAATAATTTTTCTTCCACTTTCAGTCGTTTCTTTACCTATTTGACCCATTTTAGTACTATCATAGTAAAGTATCAAATATACTTACACTTGAATTGAAAACACTACGATAGACATCGTCTCTAGATATACTGATGATAATTATGTTGATATTTCATGGATTACTTTGTAATTATTACACATACAATGTTATTAAACAGAAAATGTACAAATATTTATTACTATTACGCTTTCATAGAAAATATAAATAAACGATTTATTTTTAATGAAATTCGTTCTTGGGATTTCTAAGAATAAACAAAGTTCTATAAAGTTTTGGTTGAAATTTACCCACGGTAAAAATCATTTTTATTTAATTACGTTCGCGAGAATTAACAAAATTTCATATCTGCTTTTCCGTCACAGAATGTAAATAGGGAATCCTTTTTTAAATCGAACGTCCACATTGAGTACGTGACTATTTTCAGAGAACCAGGCGACGTAAACCATGTCGGAAGAATGGTAGAACGCAGGAACGTCCTGGCACGTCGAAAATAATGTCACCTCAGCGTGTAAACAGAATTGAAGAAGAATATTCGTCACCCGAAGCTTCGCATTTTCAAATCACGTTCACCCTTTGTGAGCTTACATACACGCACGCGCGCACACACACACACACACACGTGCCCATACACACAACTGGGGAGGTTTATCATGGACTTTTGCGGGCGAATGTTAAGCCCCACATATTGACCAGACAGGAGACTTTTGGAGGAACGTGTTCCCAGGACGTTAATTTCGACGGTGAAAGAAGAAAATGTATCCTTTCTGTGAGTGGTGTGTAGCTGTGCGTCGTCGAGGGACGCACGGGAAAAGTGGCAATATTTTTCCGTTTCTGAAATGGGCAAACATAAGCAGTGCAATTTCGTCCTGTGCAACGGTGAAAAATATTTCGTGGTTTGTGTTTTGAGCGACATAGAAATTAATCAATTTTTTTTAAAGAACTACGTTATTTATTATTACATTTTCTGATACTTCGCTTAAGAATCCTTATTCTCATTATTTTAATTTTTGTTAATATATAAATTCCCTGCAAAGCAGGGGTTATTCCGAGTATTTTGAAGAGAAATCACCAAAAAATGAAAATAACTTGTATTTGTTTAAGTGCCCGCTACATGGTTGTTTGACAAGATTTTGCAATAAAAAATTTATATTCGTATACAGGGTGTTCGGCCAGCCCTGGGAAAAATTTTAATGGGAGATTCTAGAGGCCAAAATAAGACGAAACTCAAGAATACTAATTTGTTTATTGAGCCTTCGTTAAAGAGTTATTAACGTTTAAATTTCCGCCTGTAGATAGGCAACCTGCATACAGCTCTGTGTGAGCGATAGCGGTTCTACAGGCGGAACTTTAAACGTTAATTTACACGTATAATTCATTTTCGCCTTATTTTGGCCTCTAGAATCTCCCATTAAGCTACTAAAACATCGTGTAGAAGGGAAATTATTTATACCTAATCGTTTTTATTTAATAAGCCCTTGCAAAGAGGCTCAATCTGACTGCCCTTAAGTGTACTCGGTAGTTTTTTGAGAATTAAAATTTCCCATAAATGCATAAACATCGGCAATATACTCATCATTGTGAAACTTGGCATCAAGGACTTGTGACGGGGCAGACTAGTCATTGCAGGGGAAATAAAAAATTGTTTTCACATTTATCGGGAGAATACTTATTCTATTTTAAGTACCTGTTGGACTCGGCGCGAGCTTCATCATGTCCAACTTGACCTGGTTATGCGTGAAATTGTATTTTTCCAGGAAATTGAACTTCGCCTGGACCTTCTGTCTCGTGTGACCCTTCTGTAGACCGTTAACGGAACGAATCACGGCCTTCTTGTACTCGCGAACGGCGAAGTTAGTGTGCGGTACCAGCAGTCCGATGGTCAACTCCGGCCTAGAGCCATTGTGGCCTCTCGATGATTCATGAGCCTCCTCGATCGTCGACCTCCACCCTCCACTGGTGGAGATCACGAGCGCGCCGAGGATCAAGAAAGCCTCGAGTCGCATCTTTTCTCCTCCTCTTCGTCCTTCAGACACGTACCATTTGGTTACTCCACGATTCGCTTTGCGACCCAAGTAGCGAAGTAACCATTTTCATCTTGTGTTTCGACGCACTGTCGCGGACCGATCTACTCAGTGGATTGGAGAAACAGTCATGATTCTTGAAAATTGAATCGTCGATCAAGATGAAAATATTAAATCATTGTAGACCGTTTAGTCTACAAAGTCTTCTTTCTTCGCATCGACGAAAGTAGTTTTTATATCGAGGATAGGTGACAAGTATAGCAAAGGAGGACATAGTTTTGCAAGAGCTTGCAAACTTTTGTTCGCGGTCTGGCTATTTTTAAACGCCTCGACGACGACGATATTGGGTTAAAATTATTGCAATTCTTTCTACTCTTTTAGGATGGCATTGCGAGATTTAAATCCTGTCTGTTGTGCGTCATCTTCTGAACACTGACAGTTCCAAGGTTTCCAAATGTGCTCGTTGAATAACTCCACGAGTATATAGCACGAGATCGATAAGACACTGTTAACGAAGATATTCTCTCGGTACATATGCGTGTGTACTTATTCAGGTGACTACCTAAACAACAACTTCTATGTTTAGACGGAGGAAGACAACGGTTGATTTCACGATGCTGTGACAATTATTTGCTGGTTATACACGTAGAACTTGGGCCATTTTTCCCTATTTCGTTCGATCGCACGAGGTAACTAATGTTTTGGAAGACACTGCAAAAGAAAATTACATTTTCCTTACACCTCTGTTGATTGGCTATTTGTTATTTTACGCAGTCGGTGGAGCCTCGAATAATGCGTTAAGCAAGAAGAAAATCGCTTTTAATCGGGAACCACGTTCCAATTAAGATAATATGTAGGGTATCGCATTGTTAAAACTAATTTATATAGAAGGTGTTCATGTTATTACTAGCGAATTTTTCGAAAACTATTCTAATTCGAAAACGGTGAAAGAGGAAAACGTTTTATAGTTTTTTATGATCGATAGAACAGTGTTTATTAATCTTCCACATTTGCGTTATTTCTCGAGAAATGAAAATGATCCTTAATTTTTTAAATGGAATGCCACACATTTTTCTGTGTCATCTGAAAGCGTTTGTCAGGACGAATTCATTTGTGTACTACGTGATGACTTTCGAGGTTATAGAAGATCAGGAATGAAAGAAAAAGTTTGAATATTTCATAACATTGTATTTATGAATGTTTCTTCTTGATACGACTTGATCCACGGATATAAATGATTCGAAAACTAAAATACAACAAGCATGTGTTTTCGTGTACAAGGAAGACATATTGAACATCTTTTGTAATCACATTAATAAAGAGTTCTTATAAACACAATGGTATGAAATTTTCAAAACCTTTCTTTCATTCCCGATCTTCTATGATTGAATTCATCTTGGTAAACGCTTTTAGATGACATAAAAAAATATAACACACTTTAAAAAATTGAGGGCCACCTTCATTTTTCGAAAAATAATGCAAATATGCAAAATTGGTATAAACTGTCCTATTGGTCATGAGAAATTGTAAAACTTTTTAAGTTACAGTTATAATAGCGTGAACAACCTGTATCCGTCACAGTTATTAGATGTTTATTCATTAGCGTGTTGAATGAGTTCGATAATCGTTACATTTCTTCTCTGTAGGTTCTATTTGTGGTTGAGTGTATTTATTTATAACCCAAGAAAATAATGATACATATTTTATCAAATATAATTATAAATTATGTTTACACGTAAATGTATCTCACGCCAGCTAACGAAATAAAGCGATTCTGTTTTTGATTTTCTAATAATAGAAGTTCTCATTTTATTCCATTAATTACATAATTGATCGAAAGAAATTTTTGATTATTTTATCGCGTTACTTAGAATATTTAAACAAAGCCTCATAGAATTAGTAAATATTAGTTATAGACTCACTTAGTGTTTCTGATTTTAACACGTTGACTATTATACCAGTTTTCTCTGTCTAGGGATATTCTTGATATTTTTTCAAATTATAGCGTAACAAATAGAAATATTCAATGGTTCAATAAAATATTTGTTATTTTATAGTATTTTTAATGGCAATGATATTATTAAGAAGTATATAAGTATCAAGGTTCATTTATTGTAAACGTTTTAAAAACATGTTGTAGGAATGAAGCACCGGCCACCAGTAAAAAATAAAGTTTAGACAAAAACAAGCAAATTACAATGAAACACTTACTATATTAATAATTTCGCGCAGAATAAATAATTAGCTATTTTTTTAATAAATTAATTGACTTTTCCTTAAAATATTTTTCTCCTTTTTTGGCGATTTTAGTTTTCTTTATTTTTACTACTTTTAAGTTTTCATCTATAAGTTGTTTATTTTTACATCGTTTCACCTTTTTCGATTATTTAGTCTGCCCTGTTTTATATATATATATTTTTTTTTTGTATATTTGATTTACTATATCACATAGATTAACTATACTACTAGTTACTAACTAAACTGACATCTAGTTATATTTCCTTAAATTTGATTCCAGATAACGTAAATTGAGGAAATTCATGGTTCGTGATAGACACGTCAAACTCATTTCAACCCTCGGGCCAACTTCCACTTTGATATACTGTAGACCGCAGGCAATTATTTGACAGCGTACAAAAATATTGTGTAGGTCATATTTCAGTTATACCAATGCCACTAATTAGACAGTCAAAATGTTAAATTCGTGTGCAAAAATGTTCACGAAATGATAAGTAAAAGAGTATAATATATCAAAGAGAAAAGGTATATTGAATACAATTTGGTTTCTCAATCCTAACATACAAATTTCTTCGTCTGAATTATGAATAATTACTATTTGTTCTCCATTTCTATAATCTAGGAAGTTATTCTCTGAATACAGAATGTTCACACTACCACTAGCCAGCGATTTACTCGAAAACTATAGTGATTTTGAAAAAATGAAAACGGAACAAGTTGTATAGTTTTATATCAATTTTGCATATTTATATTATTTTGGGAGAAATGAAGGTGACCTTCAATTTTTTAAATGGAATACCATATATTTTTTTATGTCAGCAACAAATAGTATTCCATTTAAAAAAGTTAAGATTACCTTCATTTCTCGTAAAATAATGTAAATACGCAATATTGATATACACTGTTCTATTAATCATAAAAAACTTTTTCCTCTCCTATTTTTTTTTTAATTATAATAGTTTACGAAAAAATCGCTAGCTAGTAATAGCGTCAACCTGTATAACGATTAGTATCAATTCAGTACACTATGAAAACCATATACCGTCTGGAAACAGTGATCTTTTACCATTTCCTAATACCGTTGTTGACTCCCATTAATTATATTATAGAAAAAAAGATAAATTATAGATTAATAATTATTTTATAAATAATAAGTAAATTAAAAATTATATTTAATTACTGATAATTATCATTGGATATCTGACAATTTTTCTAAAGGTTCGTGGAGCCGATTTATGTAGCAAATAGATATTTACAATAACTATTTACAATCACGTTTATTTATTAACAAATATATATACAAAAATAACGTGTTAACAGGAATTTGAAATATCCCCTGAACTACTAATATTTCGACGTTACATAGTTAGTACTTTTTTTATAACGATTGTCCAGCTGAATCGATCGATGTATTAAAAAATACCTCATTCCATTTAAAAAAACAAAGTTGACCTTTATATGACCTTTACGCGTCCACTCACGAAAAAACTAATAACATCAGAATATGCTCCACTCGATACCATTCAAGCCTCCGCTGAAACATTTTTTGTTACGAGTAACAATAGCGAGAAAATCAAGATGTCAAAATCGGGTGAGACACCCTGTATATCAAGTTCAAAAACAGACGGTGATTCTATTTGCAAATCAGAAGTTTGCCCATCCTGCGTGGGCCAGTCCTCCGGAGACTCCAAATCCCACCTATTGAGGGTTGTACGGGGGTGGGGGTCCGCGGTTCCAAGGGGCAGGTAGATGGACCCAAATTATGGTGAAACTAATTAATTATGCTGAATGGCTTAATGGCTTTAGGGTACGGAAATTCATATTGTTAAAAAAGGGTACATCTGCCAGATGACCAAATTAAGTAATTTATGTAATATTGAAAATACATAACGCGTCCTGTAATATAAAGTGTTTGGAATTTCATGCAACCGTATTGGACTATCTTTAATAGTTCAAAAATCACTTTCGTTTGCCTCAACCCCTACAAGCTCAAGATGGAATCGACAACAGCCACCGGAAATCTACAATTGCTCAGAAGTTGGAACAGATCCACGAAGGTGGAATTTCATCGATTATGAATAAGGTTCTTTCCCTCGTCCTTTTCAGCTGCAAATCGATTCCGAGTAATATCGGCATCTATCTACGAGCTAGAATTCCGGAAATTCTAGAACCAGGAATCGTACTCTCAGAAATAAAACACTTCGGTCGGGATCGGTTAGGAAACCTCAGCGATCGAGTTTCCGGGCAACAACTGAAAATTCGATTTGAAATCGAAGGAAACTCATTATGAATGTTCGGTCGTAAGTTTCGCTGGTACATCCAACTGTGCCCCTCGCGGAACGCCGATAAGATTGGCTGGAAGTAATTACGGGGCCCTCAATTAAGCCGACGCCCGATAATTTCATGCGAGGATCTGGAGCGTCAGAATCACAACGAAGCTAATTATTGAGATTTTCGTCAGGCAGGCT